ACTTATGGCAACCCTACCAATTTCCCAGGGTTTTCTTAGGCAAACAATTCCCAGAGGTAATTTTGCCAGTTCCTTCCTCTGAAATACAGCCCAACAACACCTGAGATTTGCTGGTGGTCTCCCATCTCAGTGCTAACCAGGTCTGAGCTTGCTTAGCTTCCAAGATCAGACAGATCTGGCAAGGTTGACCATTGGACTATGAGTCTGGAAACCACGCTTCGGATCCTTGCTCAGCCATGGAAACCCACTGGGTGACATTGGGCAAGTCATACTCTCTCACCCTCACACCCTCTCAGCCTCAGAGGAAGGCAACGACAAATCTCCTCTGAAGAAATCTTGCCAAGAAAACCCCCTTAGGATCACCATAAGTGGGAAATGACTTGAAGACACACAACAACAACAACAACAACAAGCTACCCTGTATGATATAGCCAAGTTCAAAGGGAATATTTCCAGCTATTCAATAATCCACTCCTTCAAAAGATGACTGTGCTCAGTGCCAATCTTCTCTGTTGAAACATGACAACACTTTTCATTTCCCAGTAACTGCTGACTCAGAAAGCTACTTCTTGAATCTATTGCAAGTAAGCTGAACCAAAAAATCTCTATCTTCTAAGTCTATTTCTGTTATCCTTATAATCAGACAGTATAAAGCCATGGCCTTTGGGGAAACTACACCAAGCAAAACAGGGCCCTGTTACTACTGCTCACATCTTCCCAACCAGAAGATCTTTCAGAAGGTCAGGAGAAAAACTGAGACACTGCCATCCCCTTAAGAGGAGATATTTAATCAGGGGAGGCAAATGGAAGCCTTGGAGGGGGAATGTTCTCTTGCCCACCTTGTCCAACCCATTCCCAAGAGGCCATCTCATCGAACATGGCACAGAAGTGCCACAGGCAAAATGGCCAGAGAATTCCTTCGCCTTCCCTAGCACTACCTTTGACCAAAGAGACCAAACCGGAGAATCCGTGAGCAGTACCCAAGGGTCATCTAGTCAGATCCCTTGCCAGGGCAGGACATCTACACTAAGAATAGCCAGAATGGCCATCCAATCCAACTCCCTTCTTGTGTTCTTATGAATCTTCAAGTCCACTCTGATTTATGGTGACCCTAAAGCAAATCCAGCACAGGTCTTTCCTGGGTAGATTTCTTCAGATGAGGTTTGCCCTTGCCTTCCACTCAGGCTGTGACAGACAGTGAGACTTGCCCAAAGCCAAAGTGGGTTCCCACAGCTGAGCAGGAATTTCAACCCTGTTCTACCAGGCGCTGCGGGCAATATTTAGGAAGAACGAACTGGGAAAACGGCCTCTGAAGATTCCTTGCCTAAGAAAGCCCTGTGAACCTTGTAGGGTCACTTCTGTCCAGACACACAAAATGCTGATGGACAGAGTTACTAAACTGTTTGCCCGACTTCTTTAAAGGCAACCTACTACAGCCAACAACATCTACTAGACCAGAGACCAAGGATGGAGACCTTTGACTGCTTCATCCTCACATGCGTGAGGACAAATAATTCCCAGAGTTTCTTCTCCTCACTGGACAGTTTTCAGGTAACATTCACACCTCTAAAAGCATTTCAGGAAATTACTCTGTGCAGTAATATTTTCACACACATTCACATACAACCCCCCTCCCACCGTTTCCAGAAAGTCGGGTCAGGAGGGGGTTTTGTGCAAAATTCTTTAGGTTTGCACACAAAACATGACTTTACATACAAAGAAATGTAATGTTTCTATAAACAGTGGCTTTTTCCTGTGTGTGAAAAACTTGTTTGTGTGTATGTTTCTTTGCACAAAGTTTTACCATCAGGAAAAGCTTGTTTTTCATACAAAACCCAATGTTGTAATGCTCCAAACTCCACATATGCTCCTGCACAGAATGGTCTCCCAAAAGCACTCTGAGCTGTGCAAATACCAGGTGCAAAACCTGCACCTCTGGGCTATTCTTCCCAAAAGAGTTTCACAGTTGTTGAGGAACTCATGTTTGGGCCAGAAAGGAGTAGCGGTGAAAATTCACCCCACCCCTACCAGAGACGTATGGGGCAAAGGGTGTTTGGGGCAATGCACCAGCAGTGCAAGCTATGTCTGTTGCTCCGGGGACATACACACAGAAATGCACACCTTTTCTGCTTGCAGACAAGCTGCACCAGTAGCAAAGACAGGCAGACTGTGCGGGCCACCAGGAATGCTAAGCAGCCCCTGGGAGAAGGGCCAAGCAGCTGCTGCCGGATCCCTGACCGACTTGGAAGAGACACAACCAGCGGCTAGACCGGCTTTTTGGCTCTTCCGCCCAGCCACCCCTCCGGCAGAGCTCCACCTTTCTCCCGAACGAGACTCAAAGCGGAATGGGACTCAGAGCTCCTTTGCAGGAGTTCATAGCATTGTGGGGGATGAGAAGGAAGGATGGGCTTTGCACACATCCATAGATAGCCATGGCAGGGTATTTGCACCCACAGAGCTAATCTCTGCTCTGCAAAGGCCATGGGGCGGCAGTTCCTCCCTGGAGAAGCTTGCCGGGGCTTGTCCGTTCCGCTACCTTGCCTGCCAGCCAGCGTGCCACTTCCATGGCTTGTAAGCGGACACACCAAACACAGTCACAACAGCCGAAACCAGTTTGCAGACTTTAGATCAAACAGCAACCATTCTGTACCCAATACAACATGCATCCAATCTGGCAAAGCTCCCGTATCCAAACAGGGGCCAGCACAGGCCTGGCTGGTAGAGATCTCTGACTGGTGATGCTCTATGGTCACTGGATGTTCCCTTAAAGCCCTAATTCAAGATGACAAGCTGGGCCTAACTCACATCCATCACAAACGCAACTCCTCGACAGTTCTGTCTCCCATCTGGGGCCCTTTCACGCTACACAACTATTGCACTATAATTCCACTACAACAGTGGAATGCAATGTAATTGCATCCTATGAAATCCCAGGATTTGGAGCTTGATCAGGAGGCCCTAGAGCCCTTGGTGCAAGAACTCTACAGGTCCCTTCCTAAACTGCAAATCCCAGGATTTCATGGTGATTACAGTGGAATCGTGGTTCTTTAATTGTGTAGTGTGAAAGTGTACTGTGTGTGTGTTTCTGAATGGTACAGCCCTTTCCTTAGGGTTTCCCTTCCAACTGGGCAAAGCAATCACTCCTAAAGGTCATTCCCAGAGGGAAGACAAGTCACACCAACAAGCTAACTCTCTCCCCATGCAAGAGAAGGAACATAAAACAGCAAGGAATCTCCCCATGCCAGCCCTCTGGGGGTTGTCAGAAAGGAACTGTCCAAGGTATCGCACCCCATCGCCAAAAGCAGTGCATCACCTTGGACCACACCTTGAAATTTCACACTAAAACCCAGAGTGGACTCACTGACCCAGGGAAATGGGAGCCACTGGTGGATACAGGACTAGGCCGGCGACTGTCAGCCAGAGGACTTTTTCATCAGCCACCCCCAAATTGTGGAACGACCTGCCGGAAAAACAGCATTAAAGACTAATCTCTCCCGGCATACCTATCCAGATGATTTTTAAAACTGTAAAATTTAAATGATCAACTTTAGATTGTTTTAATTCATGTGTGTTTTAATGCATATGTGTCTTGTTTGTTCTTTTAAACTGATGTATGTTTTAACTTGATGTTGTGTTCTTAACTGATGTATATTTGTTGGTCTGTTGTCATTCCCCACCTTGATCCATGGGGAAAGGTGACTAAGAAATTTATTATTATTATTATTATTATTATTATTATTATTATTATTATTGCGGAGTGGTTAAATGTCAGTAATGCAACCACAACATTGTGAGATCAGGGCTCCAAGATTGACCCAGCCTTCCATCCTTTTGTAAGTCAGTAAAACGAGTCCCCAGCTTGTTGGGGATAATTGACTTTCAGATTGTAAACCACTTAGAGAGTGCTGAGTTCACTATTAAGCAGTATAGAAATGTAAATGCTATTGCTATTGCTATTATTATTATTATTATTATTATTATTATTATTATTATTTATTACTACCACCCCAGGCCAGGTGGCATTCCCCTTGCCATTACTCTTACACAGAGACAGAAATAGGGTCAGCTGAGGTGTGACAGCTCAAGCAAGTGACAAGGGACAGGAATGCCAGATAAAGTTTTGAGGCCCCCTCTCAAAGCAAAACCCAGCTTATGGGACCTCCATTATGGATTTCTGAAAGCCACAAAGTCACTGCCTCTTGGCAATCCCTGGCCTCCCCAGAATTTGCCCCAGATAAGCATGAAATCACCCCCTGGAAGTGCAAAGCGCTGCCCGTCCGGTTGCCTCCGAAAGGGTTGCCTGCTCTCCTGCTATGAAATTACAGCCACAAAGAAATTTTATGCCCCAAGAAAAACCCCAAAGTTGGAACCAGGCCACCACCTTTGTGCTCTTCTGCCCTCTTTCATTTGACGAAGGCTTAAAATTTGCATCCTGTTTTTTTGTACCAGGGAAAGTCACTCCCCAACGAAACCATCTTTTAAAAAAACCATAAAGTGTTCCCATTCATCATCACTGAAGAATTAAAACAAATGCAAACTGTAACTCACAGCAGCAACACAAAGACGCATTCAGTGAGATCGGAGCTCACAAAAGGCAGAGAAAGATTCCAACAGATCTCCCTAAGGACCGAGTTTCTGGCACATTGGTGCCAACACCGAAAAAGCCCCTTCCTTGATAGGAGGACACTGGCAAGGCTGGGATTGGAAGCAGCAGGGGAAATGGCTTTAATTTGCAGGGGAGAAACAGAAGATAAAAGATTCTCCACAGAGTATCTTATGTCTTACAGGCTTGGATATGTCAAAACCAAAATTTGGGACTTTGTTCAAAAGCACACCAGGACAAGTAGGGAAAAATAAATATATGGGGCCAGAGAATCACAGATTTGGAAGCGGCCCCCAAGGGCAATCAAGTTTGCTGTTGCTGTTGTTGTTGTTGTTGTTGTTGTTGTTGTGTGCTTTCAAAACATTTCCAATTTATGGTGACCCTAAGGCAAACCTGAGCCAGTGAGGCATAATGGTTTGAGTGTCAGACTCTGACTCTGGAGACCAGGGTTCAAATCCCAGCCCTGCCATGAAACCCACTGGCTGACCTTAGGCAAGTCACACCCTCTCAGCCTCAGAGGATGGTGATGGCAAACCCCCTCTGAACAAATCTTGCCAAGAAAACCCCTTTAGATGTTTGCAAGGGGGTTTGGGAACACAACAGCTACAATGCTGCAAAACACCAGCAAACGTTTAGTTTGCCAGCGCAGGCAATGGTGGCAGGAGGGGAAAGGCCCCAAGTGCAGCAGCAGCCAGGAAGGAAGTCATTGAAGAAAAAGGCTGCCCAGAACCAGGAGAGGCTGGAGGAGGCCCTTCCTCAAAGTGGCAGAACGTAAATCTCCGTAAATCTCCATGTGGGGACTTAGGCACTAATTGTGCAATGCGACCTTTGTTGCATTGTTGCACCAGGAGAAGCTGGAGGAGGCCCTTCATCAAGATGGCAGAGCATAAATCTCTGCATGTCCAGTTTCTCCACATTGCATTAACTGGGCAATGCAACCCTTGTGTTGGATGCTACTGCTGCACAACTGAATCAAGATACCCCGTGTGCCATTAAATGCAGCATGCAAATGCATCCATGCACAAGGCAACAGGCACACCTGCTTACATTTCACATCCACGCACAATATGCGCACCCATGCTTAATGGCACCACCTGCGCAACTCCACTCCCTCAACCTTGCACTGAATGTGGACCTTCTACAGTTGGACCACAATGACCCGTCGCCTCCATGGGAACATGCGCAACGGCGTCACAAGGCCCAGCGCAACAACTTACATGGAGAACATGTCCCCGATTCAACTCCAGGGAGCACCTCCAGGTATGGCTAAGAAAGCCTGGGAACGCTGACAAGCAGGTGCAATGCTCCCCTGCCTCCTTTTGGGCATGGAGGGCGTTGAGGGAGGCTGTCACCTGGGTTGACCTCTGGAAGGAATCCATGCGCTTCCAGACCTTGAGAAACTCAATGTGTCCGAGAAAAAGACTTTGCTTCCTCTGAAAGAGGAGGCGCAACTGTTCGTTTCTGACCAAACAAAATCTGCGGAACAATCTGCAACAACTCCTCGCAACACAAACCCTCTCCGATTTATCTTGGGTGCTATGCAGTGAGCAAGACCACCATTGCATCTGCTCTTGTCAGAAGAGGTGCTCTCCAAAGCTGTTGCCGCGAGGCTGGGCTCTGGGACACCTATAGACTGACTTCCATGCCCTCGGGGGGGATTCCAGAGCAAGGTCCGCTCTGGGTGCAAAACACGGATTGTCCAACCACACATACCGAAACCTTCCTCCCCAGTGCGCAGAAGTCAAGGCCGCCCTCCTGATCCACGAACCCAAAGGAGCCTTGCCAAGTTGTACAGATCTGGAGTATTTCCTCCTTGGATCTGTGCTTCCTAACGGGGCAAGTGCATTTCGGGGGAAATGGCTTTGGGGGGCTGAAATATTATATTCTCCCTCAAGAGGCTGAGCTGAAACAGAAAAGGAGGAGGGAGGTGCTATATATATATATATATATAGAGAGAGAGAGAGAGAGAGAGAGAGAGAGAGAGAGGATGCATCCAGCCAAATTAAAAAATTGCAAACTAGAGACCAGTCCCAGCAACAAAGTAGAGTGTGCTTTTACAATCCTAGAATTGCAATCTAATGCAGCCATAATTTATGGTTCACACCTTAATTTTTCTTCCATTTTATTTTTTGCACAGAAAGTGTACCAAACGTGTCCATTTGCTTAATAACTCCAAGGTACTAATGGTCCCCCCCATCCGCTCCTTTGTTTCTTCCCAGAGCCAGCAGCAGAGTCTACCAGACCGAGTCTTTTGTGTGCTCACCTCCCACCCTTCCCTTCCTTCCCTTCCTTCTCTTTCTTTCCCTTCCCTTTGCTCTCCTCCCACCCACAAACCCACCCCTTGCAAAAACTCCATGATCAGCACAAAACCCTTCAGTCTTCCTCCATCCTCTGCAGACAAAGATCCCTCTTGCATGGAGATGGATCTCAAAGCAAAGATCTGTTTGGCCTCTCCCTGGACCAAGCAATCCTGGAAGAATGTAATAACCCAAAGACACACACACACACACACAAAATATCCTTCTGTTTTAAGGCAATAATATTTTGTATAAAAAATATCCTGCGTCCACTATAGGTTTTGATGTGAAAGAGAGAGAAAAATAACGTAAAGGAGAGGAAGAACGGATGTTGTTCTCCTCTAGTGTTAAAACTGTACATTCCTTTTTATTTATTTATTTCTTAAAAAAATATCAAGCTGCCAACATTAGAAGGAAAATCCCTTCAAGGATTTTGGCAGAAGTTCCAATTCAGGCAAGCTACTTTTAAAAGTTAGCAGCCATTTGTGGTTTTGTGCAATTACGGGAAAGCTCCACTGCACTGTTGCAAGACTTTAAAGTGTATGTGTGTGTGTATGGGGGGGGGGGGAATATATCATCACAAGAGGACAGAGAACCCCCTTCATGGCGACCCAAGGCACTCTTGTCTCGTCTTTCTCCTCCAGACTGTCGTTTTGGGACAATCTCCTCTTTGGGCATTTAGGGTTGCTGTCTACAGACCTTCTCTCGCAGCTACACTGTGCTCTGTTTCCAGGAAAATGCCAGCAAATGTGAGGACAGAGGAGCACAAAAGGCTGGTGTGCCAGAGTGCTTGCTTTTGCCAGTGAGGTTCCCCCAGCCGTGCCCCAGTTTCCTCCTCCTCCTCCTCCAGCTCAGCCCCAATGCTGAGAATCCGGTTTGGTCAAAGATGGCATGTGCACAACCCCACAAATCTCATCTGTGAACTCAGCCAGGAGCCAAGCACAGAGACACACACATCCCAGTCCTATGCACAACCACAACAGCCAGGCGGAAAAGCTGGATTTGGCTAATTGCTCGGCATGGAAGGCGGGCGGGGGGACCGGTCCACCACTTCTCCCCTAACACAAAGAAGGAGGGAGACAGACAGACATCTTGGAAAACTGCAGGGCAAGAGAGACAGAGAGAGGAGAGAGGGAAGCAGGCACACAGGGAGAGCCAGGGAGGACTTACGCTTGCAGAATCCGCTGCCGCCGAGAGAGAACCAAAGGCAGGGAGGCCCAAGGAGAAGGAAGCATGGAGGAATCCGGAGGGAAGCTCACGACACTTTCATGAAGGAAGGGGCTGCTGGCTTGCAGAGGAGGCAACACTGCTGCTCCAGTGATTCAGCCGACACAGACCTCCCCCTCCCCTCTCCGAACAGCTGTGGGGGCCATTATCCCTCCTGCACATCGCACGTACATGGAGGGCCAGCGAGGCTGCAAGAGCAGCAAGAGCAGGGCATGCGGCGGGGAGGAAAGGGCTGCTGCTGGGGCACTGCACCGCTTCCCTCCTCTCCCCTCTGGAAATGGGGCGGCCAGAGCCCATGGGGAGCAAGGCCTTCGGCTGCGGAAAGCCCTTCCAGGACGGCACAAGGCTACCCCCACGCACAGATAAATATATGGAAATATGGGCACATATATGCTTTTAAGATTGCCCTCTCCAGCAGACGCAGGCGGGCAGGCAGGCACACATGCGCGTGAGCAAGGAAAAACCTGCTCCCCAAAGCTCTTGTGTTCGGCAGATTCTGGAGAGGGGGGGTTCTCACCCCAATTCATCTCACCCCTGATGCAGACATCTAAGGAACTACCTCAGATGACCCCACTTGACTGTTCGGCGCAAGGAACCCGTGACGCTCCCTGCAAAAGAGGCGCATGGAAACATGGCAGTGGCCAAATGCATCCCTCTTTCTCTCTTTCTCTCTCTCTCTGTCTCTCTCTCATGCGCGCTTTCTTCCCTTGCGCTCTTTCTGGCTCTCTCGCTCTCTCTCAAGGCTACAATTTTTGGCACCCGAGCATCATCTCCTGAGAGCAAAGCACCCTTCTTAGGTGAGCACAGCGCTGGACCGAACCAGCAATGAAAACAGCCGGTCCCCCATCCCTTCCTTTCTCGGCCCTGCTCCCGCCGATGCAACCTGGAAGCCCTGGCATGATGTGGGATATCTCCACCGCGACGTCGACACGGTCACACCTCCTGTTACGTTCCACGGAGATGCAGTCCCAGGCCACGTGACTCAGCCACTGACGCGGCCGGCGGGAAGAGTTCAAATAAGTTTTCACTGCAGCGAGGAAGGTGCCCTCAGTGAGAGGACATTGGGAGCAACACTCTTCTCCCCGTCAAAAGGCTTCCTTCGCTGATACACAGAGCTGCATCGTTTTCCATCCAAAGACCAGAACGTGTACTTATCCTATTTTAGCGTCAACGGCTTTTTTCCTTGCATGCATGCCAGTGAGCAAAGTTGGCCAGCACAGAAGCAAAGTCATGCCTGGGAAACACCTTGACTTTGAGGACCTTCTTGCACACCATGCTTCCAATAGGTGGGAAATGTCACATCCTGAACGTCTACCGTTAAGTGACGAAAAGAAGAGGAGGAGGAGGAAAGAGAAGAAGGTGGAGGAGGAGGAGGAGGAGGAGGAGGAGGAAAAAGCTGTCTTGAACTCTGACTGGGTCAAAGTTCAGCCTTGTAACTCCTGGGGGAAGAAATCTCCCCAACCCTCCTAAAGCCTCCTGTGAAACACCCCCATTTTGGAGGAACGGGAAGCACCCTGCATTCTCAGATTGTTTTAGTGATGGGCTTAGTCTCGGAGAACGACAAACAGAGAGCTTTTGCTCATTGCGTGGGATACTTCTCACCTTTTCAAAACTGCTGCCGGTCAACGCAGGGAGGGCTGTGTGCCCAGATATTCGGACAATGGACAGGTGACAACTGGGGCCTGTAGCACCCCGATTCTCAGGCCAACAGCTAAGTGCCAACACAAACACAGAGATAGACAACCAAAGGCTCTGTTATGTGCATATTAAGCATGTTCTGCTAGGGAGTGTGTTTGTTCTCTAACATTAAGGATCAGCTCTGATGTAGGAGGACAGCAAATATTTTTTCCCAATGCACCATATTTGTGCCCTTTATCTACAAGGGTTTCCAGAGAGAGGGCACTGGTCCAGGCATCACCACCATTTTGGGTAGCAATGCTCATGA